TTCAGCTTAGTGGACAGTCTGGTGTCAACTGAGTTCCTGAAGGACCACAGCTATCATCAGGGTGCTTGGGGCAGAGTCCCAGCCCAGAAGGCAGCTGCATCTGGGAAGCTGCCATCATGTCCCCATGTGTTTGGAGGCGCCCCTTGCCCCCCATGCTGGCTTCACACCCATCTGATGGCCTGGCCCTGTCTCAGTCCCAACCTCAATTGAGCTTCCGTTGCTAGAAAGAGGCAACCAGAAATGACCAGCCCCAAGGTCACAGCTTCACGCCAGTCTGGTGAGTGGGTGTTTAGCACCTTCCCCTGGGAGAGGAGCTAAGCCGCAGAAACGAGCTTGGGTTACATTCCAGGGTCCAGCCAACTTGGCAGCCCCGTGGGTCAAGGCTGGTGTGCAGCCAGCCATGAGTCCAGCACAACTAAAAGGCATAAAACAGTGCTTTGCTGCACAGATACCCTCTCATGGGCAAGCTTCGTCAGCAGTGCCACCCACAATCCATTATTTCAGCTGCCATGCTCTTCCTAACACTGTTCCTCCTGCCAGGAGTCCCTACTCCACATCTTACTAATGCATCTGGAACCCAGCTTCCTATGGGGTCCAAATGCTACCTCTGGTGTGGCTAGTGAGGAGTGCTGAAGGCCATGGGTGGAGAGCAGATTCTCCTCTGCCATCTCCAGTCTCAACACACCCAGTCCTGCCCAAGCAAAGTCCTGTCCAAGAAAGCCTTGAGGCTTTCTCACCAGTTCTGCATGTGTGAGCTTCATCAGAGGCTGGAGCTGAGGTCTTGGCTCTGGAACATCAAGGGGACCCCTCATTCTGGATATCCAAGTTTTATTGAAGGCTGGAACTGGGGTCTCAGCTCTGGAACATCAAGGGGACCCTCCTTCTGGATGCACAAGCTACACTGGAGTCTGGAGCTGAGGTCTTGGTTCTAGAACATCAAGGGAGCCACTCATCAAGGACATCTGAGCTTCACTGGAGGCTAGAGCTGGAGTGTTGGCTCTGGAACATCAAGAGGACCCTCATTCCGGATGCCCAAGTGTCATCAAAGGCTGGAACTGGGGTCTCAGCTCTGGAACATCAAGGGGACCCTCATTCTGTATGTTCAAGTTTCACTGAAGGCTGGAACTGGGGTCTCAGCTCTGGAACATCAAGGAGACCCTCCTTCTGGGTGCAGATTGATCTAAGTCTGGAGCTAAGATCTTGGCTCTAGAACATCAAGGGGCCACTCATCATGGACATCTGAGCTTCATCAAAGCCTGGAGCTGTGGTCTTGGCTCTGGAACATCAAGGGGACCTTCATTCTGGATGCAAGATCTTCATTGGTGGCTGGAGCTGGAGTCTTGGCTCTGGAACGTCAAGGGGCCCCTTCATCATGGACATCTGAGTTTCATCAGAGGCCGGAACTGGGATCTTGGCTCTGAAACATCAAGGTGGCCCATCATCATGGACATCTGAGCTTCATCAGAGGCTGGAACTGCATTCTTGGCTCTGGAACATCAAGAGGAACCTTCATCGTGGACATCTGAGCTTCATGGGAGGCTAGAGCTGGGGTCTCGGCTCTGGAATATCAAAGGGGCCCTTCATCATGGACATCTGAGCTTCATGGGAGGCTGGAGCTGGGGTCTCAGCTCTGGAACTTCAAGGAGACCCTTCATCATGGACATCTGAGCTTCATGGGAGGCTGGTGCTGGGGTCTCAGCTCTGGAACATCAAAGGGGCCCTTCATCATGGACATCTGAACGTCATCAGAGGCTGGAGCTGGGTCTCAGCTCTGGAACATCAAGGAGGCCCTTCATCATGGACATCTGAACGTCATCAGAGGATGGATCTAGGGTCTCAGCTCTGGAACATCAAGAAGGCCCTTCATCATGGACAGCTGAACGACATCAGAGGCTGGGGCTCTGACCACCATGGGCAGGACTCTCCCGGCTCCTTGGCCCCACCTTGGCTGGAACGGACTCATCTCAGTGGGACACACTCTGGAGGCCATCTTCCTCTTGTCTCCATGCTGCCTGGACCATACTCTGTACCATGAGTCTCATCATCTCCATCAGGGACTGGGGTCAAGTCTCCTTGGCTGAGACATGGCCATTGGCACCAAGGTGGTTCTTTCTTTCTGCGAAGGGGCCATGCTCAGCCCCATGGTGGGACTCTCCTGTAGTTCTCTTGAGGCACCTCCCTGCGTGGGGGAGGAGGAGGGGAGGAAGACGAGAAGAAAGAGGAATAGGAGGAGGAGGAGGAGGGAGGAAGAGAAGGTAGGAAGAAGAAGGTGATGAAGGAGGAAGAAGGAGGAGGAAGAGGTAGAAAGAAGGTGGAGGAGGAAGGAGGAGGAGGTGATGGAGGTGGCAGTGGTGGTGACTTCAGGTGTTGATGGTGGCAGTGGCAGAGGTCAGCCTCTCCTTTCCCACTGGTTGCATGTCCAGTTCATCTGCTCCAGCAAAGCCAGGTGTGATGACCCCCAGGACTCCGTGTGGACTTGGGTCCACAGGTCCCTTGCCCTTGCTCCTCTCCGTCACCATTCGGCCAACAGTCTGACTTTCCTGAGCTGGGTCTCGGAGGCACAAGGCTCGGTGCCCGTGCCAGGGGGGACAGTGGCTGCGTCTGAGGTTCCACCCCTGCAGCTTCCTCAGGGTCCCGCTGAGCTCGGTAACCATCCTGTGCAGTGAGCGTTGGCCCTGGGTCATAACCCAGGCTGGCCACGCACTCACCGTCAGTTCGAGCAGGACCACAGCTCTGCCTGGCTCCTGCTGGGCCCTGGGAGTGCAGGAGGAGGGGAGGAAGAGTCGCAGCCTGGGGGCGGCCCCTCTGGGGCTCTTGGGACCCCCAACGCTGCGCTCAGCTCAGACTTCCTCCACTCCCCAGCTACATTCCTTTCTGGAAAGGAACGTGACATCCCAAAACCATTAGAAGGAAGGGGACCAGCCCGAGTTAGTTCACCCCAACACGCATCCACCACAGGAGGTCAGAGCTGGCTCCCCTGCCCTCCCCGCCCGCCACACGCCCTGGATGAGAGCAGCCCCAGCCAGACAGGACACCCGACATTCAGCCCTCCTCATATTAGTAGCACATCCATCACTGTTTTTGTTAAGGCAAGAAACACATTTATTGAGAGCACAAAAGGGTGTGCCAAGCCCCAGGTCAGGCGCTTTCAAACCACATCACTCGCTCCTCACAACAACCCTGTGAGGTAGGTGTCCGAGCCCACTCCTCAGGTGTGGACAAGTGAAGGCTCGGTGGCTCCCCCAAGTCTCAGGGTTCATGAGGGGTGGGTAGGGGTCCAGCCCGCTTGTCTGAGCCTCAGATCAGTGCAGTCCATCAGTCAGAGGGCGGGTGGCTACGCAAGGAGAGGCCAGGAGAGCATGCCCCTCCTCGCAGGGGGCGGCCCTGGTGCAGAGTCTTTGGGTCCGGCCTGTCCCGCAGGAGCGTGTGCAGGGTGTCCCTGTGGCTGCGGAGGCTGGGAGAGACACAGGTGCAGATGAAGGGGCCCGCTCCCGGTCTCACTGGCTGACAAGTTCTCATGCAGACAGGCAGGCCAGGGGGGCGAGGAGAGGAGAGACGCCCCCGGGACTGGGCACCACCGGACACCACGGGGAGAAGGCCCCGGCTCCCAGCAGCCTTGGGGGGCCAGGGGAGCACCCAGGCACCAGCTCCTGCCCCCTCTAGCTAGTGCCCCTCGATCTCTGGGCTCCCACACGTCACCACTTCCCCAGTCTCCCCCACCTGCAGAGATTTCCAGAAGCGTACCCTTAGTCCCGACACCCTCCTGCACCTGGGACCTCTGAAGGTTCTCACCTCACTAACCCAGAATCTGGAACTCCTGGCCTTTCTAAACACCACCCCAGCTATCCTGCCCAAACCACTGCCAATTAAACTTGGTTGTTCTCTAAAATATTAGCCTCCCCATCCTCTGAGGGTTTCTAAAAGTTCTCCCTGATCCCACCCCCACCCCCGACACCTTTGGCCTCAACCCCACCCCCTCTGACCCTGCTAAATCTCTGTATTTAAAAGCAAACCCTTCCCTCCTCCCTCGCTGCCTCCCCAGAGCTGGCCGTGTGCTTCCCTGACGCCCTCCACTCCACACACCAGCCACTTGGGCCACTGTAGTTCTGGGGAGCACAGAGCTTCTGTGACCAGCGCCCATAGGCCGCAGGCACTGTGGTCAGACCCAGGGTTCACCAGAGAACAAGGGGCGAGGCCACCCGTGTGCCAGGTAACAAAGCATTTATTTTCATATCAACAATCTCATTGAATCCCACAATAACCGTGCCAGGTAAACGTGACTATTTCCAGGTTACAGGTGAGCAAAAATTTGGCCAGGCCACACACACACACACACAGGCCCCAGAGTGGCCTTAAACCCAGACCTTGATTCTCAGAGCCAGCATATGGGGTGCAGCAAGGCACGCAGCCTGCACTCGGGGGCTACCAGCGTCCTTTGAGTGGATATTATCATTCAGTACCCATTCTACAGGTGGGAAAACCAAGACTCGGGATGCCTGTAACCTGCCCAAGGCCATTGCCCTGGCAAACGGTGACACTGGGACCAGAATTCAAAAGAGCAAGACCTCCAGGGTCCCATCCCTCAATTTGTGCCCGGGTATTGTGCTTTGAGGGTGAGAGCAGATAAAAGGAACCAAGGTCTGGAGTCCAATCCCCCCGCATTTTTGGGGTGCCCACGGCTGCATCTCAGACTCGGCACGTGCCATACAGGTTGTCACCAGGGCTGGAAACAAAGCCGTTTCAGGTGGAGACTTCCACCCCCTCAGGGCCCACCGCCAGCCACAGAGGGGGGCGTTACCAGGGCCTCCCTCCAGCCTGGGCATTACCAAATGCCACATTATCAAAATCACTTGGGCCACAACACAAACGAGGACACTTGAGCCTAAATGAAGTTTTATTCTAGACATAAATACTTCAAAAATGGGCAGAAGACAAACATTTCTATCAGGAGGGACCCTCCTCTGGGCTGCACCTGCCCCAGGGGGAGCCCCCACCATAGGCGGAGACCCTCAGGAATTGCCCTGAAGAGTCTTTGCCAAAAAAACACACTTTCCTCCTAAAGAAACACATGTGGATTCAACTTGCCTATCAGCCGACCATCAATTCAGTTCTTCACGTCCATGAAAAACCCTGCCTCGTCAGTCAGTGAGCATCTGTTAGGCATCTACTAGTGAAGTGAAGGGTCAGAGAAGCACAAATCTCAGAGTAAGGGTTCAACTACAGCTTGGCTGTGACCCCACTGAACCTCCACTCCCTCACCTGCCCTCAGGAAACGGGGACCCAGCCCTGCCCATTTCAAGGGGTGGGTGACCTGTCAACACTGGGCCCCTGGGAGACTCCCTCATCCTGGGTCACACACAAGCTTAAGCTTCCAGGAGCCCGAGGCCTATCGGGGAGCAGACACCTGAACATAGACTCAGAGTCCCCTGGGAGGAGGGGCCTACCACCTGTCCCTCCCGTGGAGTCCCTCGGGAGCACCGAGGCAAGGCCCCCCTCTGCTCAGACATGTTCTCAAGGAAGTGTGATGTCCACGGGGCAGACGTCAAACAGTGACACAGCGAGGACCCCCTAAGCTAAGCCCAAGGGAGGGGAGTACCGGGGAGTCCGGTGCCAGAGCTCCTGGAGGCGGGTGCACAGGGCTGGAGGCCAGACCTCACAGTAAAATCTCAGGCAACTGAAAGAGCTGATCAGGTGGACAGCAGTGAGGGCCATAAAGAGCGCCCAGGAGGCAGAAAGAAGGGGAGGCCAGTGAGGCTTCCACAGAGGGAGGGCAGGACAGGAGAGAGGCTGGGGGTGCAGATGGCGTTTGGGGATGACAAAGCAGAATGCTCTGTCTCACAAGCATGAGACAAGGGCCAGGAAAGAAACTCAGGGGTCTCCTGAAGAGACCCCCCAACCCAAAATGACCCCTAATATCTTCTCAAATGCAGCCAAGCTTCCAAGGCCCACTGGGACCCAACTGAGCTGTGGCGCACTGTGACCCCTGCCAGGGGCAGGGCCAGGTACACATGGGCCAGCAGAGGCCGGCCACAGTAACTGGGAGAGATTGGCTGGCAGGGTCAAAGGGCACTAGCTCCTCAGGTAGGACTGCTCAGCCCTGGCTCTGATCCCCAGCTCTCTCTGAATCTCAGCTCCCTCATCGAGAAACCGGGCCCACACCCCCAACCAAGCAGGAAGCTTGCGGGGCATGGTGGTTAACAGCCCTGCCCCAGCTTGGTTCCAGGCCCCCAGACGAAACTGCAGACCGATTTCTTCACCTTGCAGCCAGAGAAAGAAGGAAGAGGGGTGAGGAAATGAGGAGCACAGGGGCCTTTCCCCTAAAGGGCAGAAGAAGATGGCCCCGAAGACATCAGCAAAAGCCCCTCTAAACCTCTTCCTGCCTGGCGGACTCGACCCGGGGCGCACACAGGTGTCTGCAGGACCCCCCACCATCAGACACGGCATGAACAGGTACAGCAAGCCCCAAGCAGTCCCCCCAGCCTGCTGCCACCTCCACGTGAGAAGCAGCAGCCTGGATGGAAAGTGGGATGGCGTGGGGGTCGGGGGGCAGGCTCCAAGGAAGGAAAAAAGCCGTCACTCCTCAATCAAACCAGTATTTACCCTGGGCCAACTCGCTAAATACTTGCAGACCGCTCAGCCTCTGTCTTACACGTTCCATTGACTGTCGAGATACAATCTGAGCATAAAATCAATACGGACTTTCAACTCACTTAGATCCCGCAAAGGCTTGGAACCTGCCGGACAGCCCCCAACATACGACGATCCTCAATGAGCGCCAGCGTTTGATCAGCTCTGTTATAGCTGACCCAGCCCCTGGCCTCCCAACCACCCAGTGGAGGGAGCTTTCTGGTGACCCATCAGAGAAAAGGAGAGAGACCAAGGGTCAGAGAGGAGAAGTGACTTGCCCAGCACTGCACAGTTAGTTAGGTGGCCCCCCGGGTCTGCCGGGTTCTAATTCCTAACACAGAACACAGACAGCTAAAAAGTTTCATCTCACGACACCCCAAACAAGAATCCTGGTTTTCAAACAACACGAGTCATACAGAAGTCCGTAAGATACAATACAACAATTGTTAACAGGTTCATCAGGAGCGAAATACAAACTCTTAGTAAGGGTTTTAACATCTGCCACTTGCATTTGGTTACAATCCGTTATTTGGCCATTCACCCATGCGTCCATTCAACAAAAATGGAAGGCGACCCCTACCACTGGCTTGGTACTGTGTTAGGCACCCAGGCTGCTGGCATTTGAGCCCAAAAGTTAATTGAGAGAGGGGACATTGCGGTCTTTGATGGCTGCTGCCTAATATCTCAGCGGGGAGGACACTGCCAGGAGAGATCTCTTGCGGAGGGAGGGTCGAGTGTAAGTGCCGCCCACAGGCCAGACACAGCGGTAGGCAAGACCCAGTGGGTGCTTCCAACCTTTAACGGAGGTGAGCGTGAACGCGTACCCCAGGGGGGGCAAGGGTGTTGCCCAAAGAGGCCCATGCCCCCGGCATAAAGGTCCCTGCCAAAATTACTCCTGTCTAGCCCTACAATGTCAAAGCAATTTAGCACCCTACCCCACGGTGCCCCTGCATGTCTAGCAAAGCCATTCCCTGCTAACCTGCTGAGTCAGGCTGCCCCACCTGGCCTGCCATCCCACCCCCAGCAGCCCCCGGGGGCACGCGCACCACCTGGTCAGAATCCCAGTTCAAAGCCCTGGTTACAGCAATCCTCACAACAGCCCTGCGAGGTGGGTGCTTCTGTCCCAGAAGACAGACTCAAGCTGTCACGGTCAGTTTAAACCACACACGTTTGTCCAGCTCCAGGGTCCTGGCTTTGCTCACTACGCCCTCTCTCCAATGCAATGAATACACAGCAGAATTCTAAGCAGAGGCCCCAAGACCTCTGCCTTGTCCCCCACGGGCAGCAGTGAGCAAAAGGGGTGGGGGTGGGGGGGTGCCTGGGACCCACGTGAATGCTTGGGGCCACGTCCAGGGTTTGCGAAGTACCATGTGTCTTGGATGCCCAGGTCTGCCAACGGAAAATTCTGTGCAGACCCCCGCACAGGGCATGCTCCTTATCACCTCCGGGAGCAATCATCTCTCCCAGTTTTCTCTAAATAGAGCCCAGCATTAACTAATTTCGAAAGGGACAGGAACGACTCTAAGATCACCACCGGGCAAGATCAGGGTGTCCTAATGACTTAAAAGCCAGCTCACGGCCGGAAGCAGCCGTTCATCTCAGACCCCCTAGCCATCACTCTGGCCTCTTGAGGACACAGGTTATGATTTCTGAACACCCAGGGACACGGTTTGCTGATTACCAATCGACCTAGTTTTGTAAGGAGCAAAGTCGGGGAGGGCAACCAAACTTCCAACGGAACTCGGATCTCGAAGTTGGGGCTGAACCAAGGGTCGAGCCTTTTGCTACCACACAAACACGGCCCCTTGCAGCCATGCTCGTCTTGTCTTCCAAAAGGAGGACATCGGGGATGAGTCCTTGGGAGCCCACTCTAGCATAGCACTAGCTAATTTGAAGAAATGTTTGTCGATTGCGAAGGAATGAAGGGATGAAGGAATGAAGGGGTGAATTACAACCACTGCCATCGGGTGGGGGAAGCAGAGAGGCTGAAGGCAAAGCTCATGGCAGGGACCATGCACCAGGCAGGGCGGCCTGGGGAGGACACCTCCGCTCACGGGTGGGGGGCCCTCTCGGACCCCGGCCCTGGACCCGCCGCGGTGGGTGATGCCTGGGAAAGCACCATGGGGACAGAAGCCGTGTGGGTGACAGTGGCGGATGAGTCCAGCTGGGACGTGCTCAGAGCAGTGACCCCGGAGGAGAAAGCTCTAATAAGGGCGTTCGCTTCATGACCACAGCCCGTGGAGCTACACAGCCCGCCCAAAATGAAAAGGCTTGCTTTCAGGGAAGGGGAGAGGCCAAAGCACCAGGTCAAGAAATGGAGGCCAAATGCACAGATGAATGGATGGATGGATTAAATCAACACTGGAAGTCATTGCTGGCCTCCCAAGCCTCGATGCTGGGACAGACATGTGCGTGACTAATTCTGACGCAGGCAAACATCGCTCAGTGCTATAGTAGAGGGGGCTCGGCGGGAAGAAGCAGCTCCCTGTTGAGGGCAGGGGTTGTTCTGGAAGGTAGGGCAAGCTCTCCGTGGGGAACACACCCTCGCCAAATGGTCTCGATGGCCTTTGAGCCGAGGTTCGTTTGTAGTGGGGCACAAGGGGAAACCCAGGAAGACCATGGGGTCCATCCTGCTGCTTGGATCACAAAATGTAATTGCCCCGCTGAAGAAAACCTGAAGGATTCTCCACCAGTCCTGACCCAATACGTGCCATCCATCTAAGGCCTCGGGGACATTTGCTCACACATCACAGGACACTGGGAATGAAAAGGACAGCAGATGGCCTCTCTTGATTCCCTAAGAGGTGGAAAGTGATGGTCCAGGGGGCTGGCTTCCTCAAAGGGAAATAGGGCTGGGTGTCAGGGCTGGTGAGAAGTCACCAGCTAACTGCACGAGATGCTAGGCATGGCTATCTGGACCTCGGAGGGTCAAAGAGATATTCCTGTCCCACGAGAGTTCCAGAGGGTGCGGTGTAGAGTTTATAAATCATAAATGCATGAACCCCCCACCCAGGGGATGCCATCTTACATGTTGCCAGGCTGCCAAATGGAAGATGTCCCGACCCCCCATTTCCAGGGAGAAGCAAATCTTGGTCAAATAGACCTGCAAGACCGTCTAGACCAACCCCACACCTGCTGTGTGAACCTCCTTTAAACTACCCTCATCAGGTGTCTGCCTGGCCTGCCCCTTGAATGCCTCCAGTGACGGAGGGCTCACTGCGTCCCAAGGACACCCATTCCATCCTCGACCAGTCTCACCAGAAAGCCATGACCCAATGGACTTGGACAAACAGTTCACAGAAGAGAAAATACAATTGGTTAACAAGTATATGTGAAAATGCTCAACCTTCATTAGTAATCAAAGCAATGCAAGTTAATATGACAGAAAAACACTGTTTAACAGAGATAAACTAGCAATATCTTAACAAAATGCTAATACATCACTGGACATTGTAAAATGCTAGAGGCCCTCGGAAATTAGTCAACACCCATACAAACTCCCTGGCCTTTCACTCAAGAAGCTCGACCCTAGGAGAGCCAATCATACATTCAGCATCCATGCATTCACTCATCCTTCGACCGTCTCACCCGGCACGCCATCCATGCAGCATTCACAACATGGCGGGCACTGGAGGTACAAAGATTAATTTGGCAAGCTCCTTGCCCTTAAGGGGCTCACAGTCTAGCAGGAGAAACTGGCATGCCATGAAGCAATGGTCATTTCAGGGTGAAGGAAAGCAATTCGTAAGAATGAAAAAAATTGATGTGCACAAAGCCATTCGCCGTGGTGGAATTCATAGCATTAGGGGGAAAAAAAAAAGATGAGTTATACATAACAATAGCAGGTCGGCATTGCAAACGATGGCATATAACCACTCGATGGGACACGACACAGCCAGTGAGGTGATGATATTTTTTTCCATGGAAAAAAAGAAAAACGCTGATGACAAAAATATTGCATGGACAACGCAGGATGCATGTGGTGAAAAGGGCAAGGTTTAAAAACTGGATGCTTATTTAAAAAAAAAAGAAAAAAGATGTCCATTTAAAAAAAATAAATAAAAGTATGCCCACAGACAAGAATGTGAAGGGGAGAAAGACAGTGGCATGACGTGTCAGGGTGATGGGTGACCTCCCGCTCTAGGTCATGTGCCATCCACACCATTTACATTAGGAACACAAGGGGGGCCTTGGCCTGTCTGCCCCTGAGGCCCAGCCTCCAGCCTCCAGCCTCTGGAAGGTCAGTCCTGAGGCTGAGCTTCCCGAGGAGGAATTTGGGAGTCACAGAGGAGTCTAAATAGAGCTCCTGGTGTCACCAGGGGAAGGATTTGTGCATGGAGTGCATGCAAAAGTCAAAGTCCAAGAGAGAAAATTTGGTCTTGTTTTAATAAGTTAAAAGAAAGAAAAACACACTGAAGATGTGCCCTGATCAGAGGGGAGCACTGAGATCCCAACTCGGAGCTCATGGGTTGGTTGGGATAAATGGAGGCCCCTACAGGAATCCTACTCTGGCTTCTGCAGCCATTGGTGGGGAGGGGTGACAGGGGGGAAGCCATGTCCTGAATCTCAGCACCCCAGAACGGAGACCCTTAGAACAGCAGATTTAAAACTCTTAAGAGCCAAAGACTCTGCGCATCCTGACCTGACAATCCTCATGCCCTCTGCATTCCTGAGAACACAAACAATCCACTGGATCCCCACCCACACACCCATCGGGGCACCCGCAAGTCTCCCTGGAGCTTCTCCCATTGGCCCATTTCCAGCCCCTGGGACCTCTCAACAGCCCCTCAGACACGGGGAGAAGGCTCCCTTAGAGGTATGTCCCCCTTCCTCTACTTCTGGGCATTTGGGTGTGGCCCCTTCCTCCTCCCCCCGACTGCACACCCAACATTTTAAAGTTTTCCTGCTCCTCAGCTGACTTAAAATAACCACATAAGGGTTCTCCCTGCTCCGGGCCCCTCCTGCCCCCACCCTAGTCCACAGGGTGATATGTGGGCTGATTAGGGAAGCTCTTTGGGGGTCCCTGTGTTAGCAGGTGTCTCAGGGTGCCAGTGCACCCCTCAGGCTTCAGGCCGGCTGAGGCAGAGCCCAGAGCCCCCAGATTCCTAGGGGAAGGAGAGCAGAGCCCTGCAGCCCCAGCATATAGGCCCATGTGGCCTTGCTCACGTGGCCCAGGCATGTAATTCTGGAGGCACAGAAGGGTGGCTCCTGACGCATAAATTCCATCCTCCATTCGGGGCCACACGAGAGGCATGGAAGTCACCCAATCCGCCCTCACTTCCCTCCTCACGTCCTGTCTCAAACTCTACAGCTATGAATCCTGTGCCCCCCATTTCACTGCCCCGAGTGAACACCTTCAGCATGGCTGGCCCCCACTGCGGCAGCCCCCCCTCCCCCGGCGCCTGCTCCCACCCAGGGTCCAAAGTCATTGCAGGTGTAAGCCCCAACGCCAGCCCCACCCAGCCCGGCTCCTCTGGGTTCCTCGTGCTCCCAGCCACACACCCAGGCTCCGGCCAAGATGGCTCCCCCTGCTCAGGGCACTGGTCAAGAATCCAATTTTGGTTTAATGTCCCAAAGAGAAATTGAGAGCTCGAGGGGGACTTCGGTTCTAGTTTTTGCAGACAAACAGGCACATAACAGACAACTTGCACAGACCCCGTCCACTACAGAGAACGGAGACTGGACAGACCCAGGGAGTCCCTGGGGTCAGAAACGTCAGTACAAACGAACTCCCCGACCTGCCACGGCCCCAGGAGGGCAGGTCAGGAGGAGAGAGGACAATTCCAACACACACCCCAACGCGATCTCTGCCCAGATACAGAGGACATCGGAAAACAGTCGAGAAGACAGTGAGGCCTTGAAACGGGCTCTGGGGATGCCATGTCAAGGGGGCCGGGATCCCGGGACCACGTCTGCAACCCCGGGCCGAGGTGCACCTGCCCAAGACATCCCCACCCCCCCCGTTGAGAAGGGCAAGCGGCCCACCCCCTAGAAGACCAGGCTGGAGGGCACCTGGGCACATTTCAGAAGGTTTCATGAACAAGGCTTCCGGTGACTTGCCTCTGGGCACCTGGGTCACTGGGCTCCTGGGTCAACCTTCTCAGGCCCTCCTGGCCCGGTTCTAACCTGCACAGCCCCTGCATAAGGGTGGCGCCACACCCGGACAGCCCAGGGGCGGGGCCCACGAGCCCCAGGGCCTCCTGCTCCCTTGCCCTCTGCTGCCCCCTGGCGGGAAGAGCCTCCCTCACAGGTGACCCAGCCCAGGGAGGGGCCAAGACACCCACCCGGCCCCACACTCCTGGTTCACACAGCCTTCTGCAAGGCCCAGGGCCCGAGCCCCTCCGCCTACCCAGGGCCGTGGACAGGGCACTGCCAACAGGTGGGACGGCATTTGCCCCCACGATCAATCCAAGCAGGAAGCTGATGCCCTTCCAAGTTTACCAATGGGGAAACTGAGGATCAGAGAAATGAGGTGAAATGGCCCACATAGCCAGGATGGCGCCCTGGCCCTCCGCAGCCAGGGTCTTCCTGAGCCAGTTCCTCCCTGCCAGGCAAAGTGCTCGCACCAAGCACACGATAGGCCAAGAGCCGTCCCTCCTCTCACCCTCTCGTTCAGCTGCCTGGACTCAGGGCCAGAGAAGCCCCTGCCTTTCTGCCTGCCCGCCTGCCTACCTGCCCTCCTCTTTCCTTGTTCCTTCCTTCCTTCCTTCCCCCTTCCTTCCTCCTTCCTTATTCTTTCCTTTCTTCCTTCCTCCTTCCTTGTTCCTTCCTTCCTTCCTCCTTCCTTATTCTTTCCTTCCTACTTCCTTCCTCCTTCCTACTTCCTTCCTTGTTTCTTCCTTCCTCCTTCTTTTTTCCTTCTTTCCTTGTTCCTTCCTTCCTTCCTCCTTCCTTGTTCCTTCCTTCCTTCCTTCCTCCTTCCTTATTCTTTCCTTCCTACTTCCTTCCTCCTTCCTCCTTCCTTCCTCCTTCCTACTTCCTTCCCCCTTCCTTCTTCCTTCCTCCCTCCTTCCTTGTTCCTTCCTTCCTCCCTTCCTTATTCCTTCCTTCCTTCCTCCTTCTTTTTTCCTTCTTTCCTTGTTCCTTCCTTCCTTCCTCCCTCCGTCCCTCCCTTCCAGTTCCTCCTCCATGCATCCCTTTACACCTAATTCCCTCATCTGTGGGCCTCCACAATCAGCCTTGGGCATGCAGACCTCCCTTCACAAGCTTTATTTACGTGCTCATTCAGCATTTTTGTTCCCTATTCCTTTCTTGTATTTCTTCCCAAATCTCACCTTCCTGACTTTCTATCGCTCCTCCCCACGAGAGGATGAGTCCACTCCCCCCCACCCAGGGCCCTCCTTTCCACTCCTGCTCCCCTGTGAGAGAACCGCCAGGTAAGCCCCCCCCCCCCCCGCCCCCTGCACACCGAGCACCACGCCACTGTGCACGTCTGCAGTCTCTCTTCCTGGCACTGAGTCAGCTCTTACACTTAAGGTATTTATTTATTCATTCATTCAGGGGCCTCCATTGCATCTATTTTATTACAGTGCTGGAAGATGCAGCCTTGTCCTTGGGCTGGGTATTTCCTTTATTTTTCATTTATTCTCTGAAAGGGGTAATGCATTTATCTATTTAAGGAAAGTGTATGTAAACTAATTATAATCCCTGTTCAGACAAGCTCTCCCAACTCTCCATTTGTCACTGTGGTTGTTTTCATGTTTATTATCTTCCCTTTTTCGTCTTTCGCTTCTTTTTCCACTCCCTCCACTTTCCTCGCTCTAGAAACCCTTAGGACTGAGGAGCTCGTGGCTAATCCTAACAGAGCCTGCTCCTTCGGACACACCCACAGTGCCCTTCTCTGGTGTCCTTCCCCCGCTTCCTTGTTCACTTAGTCTCCCTCCACTCTCCTCTCTCTTCCCCTCTGTGCTGGGTCCCTGCATCTTTTGGCTGGGGGCGGGAGGGGGCCTCAGGTGCATGGAGTCCGATGAGTGAAGATCCCAAGGGCAGCGCTCTCCTGGCTGTCCCAGGCATCTCCATTTCTAATTCAGTCGTTCCGGTGTCCATTCATTCTTTCTGTCACCCTTCTATTTCAATATTTATTCTTTTATTTATGGACCTCAGGTGCACAGAATTGGATTAACCATAATCTGTGGCTCCCAGATCCTTTGCAGCGCCCGCGCACGCGAGGCTCCCTTTTGTTCGTTAATTCCTCGTACTGCCGATTTGGTTTAGGATTCATTTCACCGTCTCCAGAGCCCAGTTTTGAATCAGTCGTAACTCTGGGCTCACGGCGCCTGCTCGTGTTCTTGGCTCCAGTGTGAGCCTCCCTCTCGCATACCTATGTGTGTCGGTCTTTTTATTTATGGTCTTGTTTTTATCATTTATAAACTCTGGGGCCCCAGATCTGAATGAATGTGGATGAATTGATGCTAAGCCATTTCCCTCTCCTACACTTTAACTGTTTGACCTATTTATTTATTATTTTTTATAGGTTTTTTTCATTTTTATTTTTTTTCCCCATCTTGATTGTTTTTTTTTTTCTCTCCCACCCTTTCAATCGTTCTCACTGCCTTTCATTCTTTTGGAAATCAGGCACCCTCCTCATCAGTTAACACAAACCTTTTTTCTCCTTCACTCCTTCCCTAGGGTGCTCATGGATCCCTCGGGTCCTTCTCACTAGTTAAGTACCTATTTTTATGCTCCTGGAGGCAAACACACCTAACTGCAAACATGCTAATCTATAGTCAACCGTCTGCCCCAGCCCAACCCGTTCTCCTGCTTCTCTCTCTGTCTCTCCTTTCTTGCGTTCTTTGCATCTTCGGTGCTCAGTCGCCCAGACCGATGAATCCTAATGCCACCTGCAAATGGCCATCCCTGACCCCTGCAGCTCCTCCATGGGTGCCTGCCTTCCTTCCTTCCTTCTGACCATTCTCCCTTCCTGTTTTCTTTTTCTTTATCAGCTACTTACTCCACTATTAATGGAAGTGAATGCCCAGACTCCGACCCATGATGATCCGCGGTTTGAGCCCACCCTCTCCTGTGGATCCCCTACCTATCCCCCCATCTCTCTGTTGGGTTGCCAACACCCTGAGAGCTGCTCTTCCCTCCTGCTCAGCTTTGCTTCTCCCCTCCACTTGCCTGCCTTCCTTCTCCGGGGGCTTTGGGGCCCAGATGGGATTAATGACAACCCTGCTGCCCATGGGCCCGGCTCCCCTTTACTCCGCCCCATCTGTTTCTCTGGATCCTGAATTACTTGTTGATTTGGAGACTTCTTATTTTATTGATAGCACCCTGGCTTGTAGAATTGGACTCACCATAATCTGCTGCATGACAGCTTTCCACCACGAATCCTACCACCGTCTACCTGTACGTATTCACCCATTCCTGTATTTCTGGACCGACAACCTGTCCTTTTTCCTTCCGTGCTTCTTGATTTTTATTTGGATATTTTACTTTATTCTCTCTTTTATCCTTTCACGGGACAGACTCAGCTCCCAGGACTGGGGGACACAAGCCCCTCAGGCCATGCTCCCATCCGGGTCCAAGAGTTTCCACTGCTCACTCTCTCTCTTTGGCTTTCTTTCATTTCTGTATTTATTTATTTATTTATGTGTGCCTGGAATTAGACAACTTTTAGTAAAAGTTAACTCTCTTCTTTGGTGTCCTGGGTCCTCTCTCTCTTTTTTTTTTACCTATTCTTTGACCTTTCACCTGCTAATTATTTGTCTATGCCAGGAGCCCACGTGTGGACTCGTCCTAATTCCTGGTTTATGATCACCTGACGTAGTCCTCCTTATATATTTGTGCATCCCCCAATTTAAGAAAATGCTTGTTCTTCCTTCCATTTACTATTTATGTTTTGTCGTGTTCTCTCTCCCTCCCAATCACCTGCTCCCTCTCTCCCTCTCTTGCACCGGCTTATTTTGATGGGACTCATCCTCTTGTTCTCACCAGTGCTTTGGGAGTCCTTTCAGTGACCTTCTCTTTATGCTTTTTAATTTTAATTGTGTTTTCACACACAGTGTGCACCACGAACCCATCACCGCCATCCTGTCCTAAACCTATTTATCACCTCCAGAAGTTTCCTCCCGCCCAGAAGGATCATTATCATTGCTATCATTTGTGATCAGAACACTTCACAGAAGATCTAGCCTCCTAGCGACTATGTAAGCACATGACACAGGCCTGTGGCTACCGGCTTCTGCATTTCCACCCCTTGGTCATTCTCTCTTCTATTTACATTTTATTCTTTTATTGGTAAACTTCAGGCGCTATCTATTTGCATTACACCTATTCCTGGGTCCATGAGGACTGAGTATCAGCTCATATGGGGCTCTCTTTACACAGTGATTCAATACTTTATTGATTTAGAGATCAATGTCCTAGGCATCAAATGGGATCTCGTTCACGGCACTCTCATCCTGGCTTGCTCACTTCTTTACCTATTTATTTGTTGATCCACTCCTTTCTGCCTTCATTCATGCATCCGTGGGCCCTTATTTGGATCATGTAACAGATCCCCGTGAAATGACCTCCCAACAAGAGAAACAGAACATCCACAGTATCTTAGACCCTCCTGCTTCCTCCCACCAAGCTGACCACCAAGGCACAAGCCACAGTCCCAAAACACACACGTGGCAGATGCAGGCAGAGGCAGAGTCAATGTTAGTGCAGCTGGACCCTCCCGGGGTTCACGTCCTAGACCAACTGGGACAGATGTGCAATTAGGGCCGGGTTCCCCAGGCCCCCTTGGCAGGGCAGGCGTGTCCCCCTGGACCCCAGTGAATGGCCATCCCCATGAGAAACCTGTTTCAAGACCCTAGAGTACATAAAGACACACACACACGTCGTACATAGTCTCCCCAGTGGGAAGGGACAGACATGGCGTTCATTTCTAAATAGACGGCTTTGTCTGTAGCAATATGAAAATATTTTGGCCTTTCAAGGCAAATACAAAAGAAACTACCCATTACCATTGCTGAGTGTCTCAGTCCCAAACAATAAAGAACTTGAAGAGGTTTAGCCGGAAACTTTGAAGACAGAAAATCTGCCCATTCTGTTTTCCAGACATTTCAAGGGGGTGAGCGAAGGTCATTGGAGCTCGAAGCCCGTTTGAGAGGCTGGTCCCTCGGCCCGCGTTTTTTCCTTGGCCCTTTGAAGAGCCCCCCAGCTCACAAGGGCACTTCCATCCTAGTCTGCCCTGGGGCACAAGAGCCAAAGGGACACTCAATAATGAAAGGGCCATTCATTGAGAGGAGCGAGAGAGAAGGAATTCTTTGGGGGTCCGGCACTCGAAGCCGCCTATAGAATTCTTTTGCCACAGAGACAACACAAGGAGGCTGGGGGTCCTGCCTTAGAACACAAGCCCCCCAGGTCGGCAATCAGTTTGGCTCGCTGGGCACCCACCTCCCCGTGAGCGGCCCCCTGGCCGGTGCTCACCAGGCCCTCCCACAGGGCTCGCCTGGCCATGTGCTCTGGGTGGCAGCCCCCCACCCTCAGCGACGAGCCCACAGATGTGTCCCCCACACTCCAGCAACTTACGATTTGAACGCTGGAGGGTGCTGGGTCGTGTGTCGAGGGCTCTCCTTCCAAGGAGGATTCCGGACAGTGTCTTCAACTGGAATGAGAGAGCATGGGGTCACTGGGATGGAACCTCACCCAACTAAAGCATGGACTCCCCAACCTTCTAGCAAGTGTGGAATTGGTGAAATCACGCGTTTCTCTTTTCAGCACCCTGGCCCGCGTGCTCACTCACCCCCCAGGCTCCCCACCCAAGCTACAGCTATGGACACAGTAGACGGGTGCAGGCCCAGAGGCGGGGACGTGGCTCCTGCCCCAAGAGCCCTTGGCTGAGTGCTACGCATGGAGCTAAGTGCCGTCTTGTGGAGCCCAAAGATTCAGAGCCACGGCATGAATGAAAGCTGAGCCGGACACCAAAAGGGTGGGGAGAAGACTCCCTGGAAGGGCATCCCACCACGGAGGAAGGGCAGTGCCGAGGCACAGCGCGTGCTCAGGCAGAAGCCCACGGGGCGTGGCGTGAGCGTGGGTAAGACTAGAGTAGTAGGCTCTGGGCCACGGGCTGGGGGCTCTGTAATGGACAGTGTGTCCTAAAACCATGGCGCACATATCAGACGACAGAAGATCGTGGTGCCCGGAGAGGTACCTTCACTTTGATAATTATGTTCACATTTTTTTTTAAAGGTTTTATTTATTTATTCATGAGAGTCAGAGAGAGAGAGAGAGAGAGAGGCAGAGGCAGAGGGAGAAGCAGGCTTCCCGCTGAGCAGGGAGCCCGATGCGGGACTCGATCCCAGGACCCTGGGACCATGACCTGAGCCGAAGGCAGACGCTTAACCATCTGAGCCACCCGGGCGCCCCTTATGTTCACATTTTAATGAGCACCACAAAAAGCTGTGTCCAGGCACATCAAGCCTTGTGTTTCAAGCATTTGCCTTAAAGTTCAAAAAAAAAAAAAGTGAATTCAGTAACGGTAGTTACTGTCAAAACACACAGACTGTACAGGACAAAAGAGGGGACCCAAAGAATGACATGAGCACTGTCATTATCTCATAACGACGCATCCGTGATGGGCTGATCAGTTGTAACAAATGTGCCCCACAACACAAGCTGTTAGTGACAGGAGGAATCGGGGACAGGGGCAGGGATAGGAATTCTCTGTCCTTGCCATTCCCTTTTTCCGGAAACCTAAGGCTGCTCAGGGGGAAAAAAAAAAAAGTCTATTTGTTAAAACAAAACAGATTTTTCTGAGCGAGCTGATCTGGAGCACATGTCCAGTCGAGTCTAGTGAAGGTACGTAGGTGTGGCCAAAATGTGGCCCTGCCACAGCTGAGGTCTAAACAGCGCTGTGAGGTGGGTGAGGGCAGAGCCAGAGGTCGGGGCAAGAGAGGGTGCAGGCAGGGAGCCCCAAGGTAGGACGAGGCCCTCTGCAACTCCCCCTGTCCCGACGTAAGCCCCGTGGGGTCCCCTCCACTGTCTATGCCTCCCAAGACTTGGCCGGGACGCTGTGGGGTACACCTCTTGCTTCCAAATCCTCTTAAAAATTCCTTCCCTGGCCTTGAGCCTCCCAAACCTTGTTTTCCCCCCAACCGGTTGATTTTATAACCAAAAAACCAAAAGTCTTTAAAAAAAAAAATAAATGTTAACCAAACAGTCATAAGCTAGTGGATGACCAAGGGCAGACTCTGGTGATGCACACGCTCTGGGTCCCCCATTTGGAGCTGGATACCACCTGAGATAGTTTCCAGCCCTCCCAGGGAGCCTGTGAGCCCCTGGGGTGGCCCCCTTCTCATGACCACAGTCCTAAGGTGACAATGGGACTCCAGACCCTGAACACACAGTCAGACCCCCCGGCACTGCCACTTCCTGTGGGAATAACGGGGTGGGGGGTAGTATTTGGTGTGTTTAATAGGACCAAGCAAATCAGGTAGCTCGGGGCATCTGTGGGTTTTTTTTCCTGCTTCTGCCCCCGGGGCTCCATGAGCCCCCGGAGCTCCTGACGGCCCCAGATTAACTTTCATGCAGACTCCAAGCTGCTCTGTGAAGACGCAGTGCTGGCCAAGTCGTGCCTTGGTTTCAAAGCTGCGTGCAGCACAGCCCTGGGTCGGCCGTGATCTATGATAACACAGCGCCGGGCTGAGACGGTAACAGATGTGTCGGAGAATATGCAGAGATGAGTCACTGTCTGGAGCCAAAGGAAAACACAGGGATTCCTTACAGGGTCCAGGGAAAGAACCGCCACCTGCATTTGATCTCAGGCCTCCTAAATGCCTGCCCTGAGCTCATGATCCATGCAGGGAGCCCTGGTGGACGCCCCAGAAACATCCTCCATGGCTTCACAGGATTAGCAAAGTCTAGCTCTTGGGGCACCTGGGGGGCTCAGTCGATAAAGCGTCTGCCTTCGGCTCAGGTCATGATTCCAGGGTCCTGGGATCAAGCCCCACATCAGGCTCCTGGCTAGCTCAGTGGGGAGCCTGCTTCTCCCTCTCCCTGCCCCTCCTCCCTGCTTGTGTTCTCTCTCTCTCAAATTAAAAAAAAAAAAAAAAAAAAAATTGAAATAAATTTAAAAAAAAAGAAAAGTCTAGCTCTTCATCTCAAGATTTTAAAAGTTACTCTTTTCTGGAGGCCAAGAGGACCTAACGGTTCTGGCATGCCTTTGGTACACAGAACTTATGGATGTTTAGTGCTAGGAAAGACACAAAAGGATTATTTTCAATCAAATGGTGATTTCCAGAAATAGAGCCCGTAGTTTATACAAATAATCAGCCTCGCCTCAGATCTCATGCTTCCTACCTGTTGAGCAAAGACCACCCTCCTACAACTTCCCTTACAGACACAGGCTCTTTGCAAAGCTAATTTCCTGTACCTTTGTGAAGACCGGGGCCCGGACATTATGGACCCATTTATGAAAATGGGAGAGGTAATTGGGACATCTTTTGAAATCACGTCCCCTCTCTCGCCGGCCCCCATCAGCCCTCTAATTTCAGTTGGCCGGGCCATAGAGGATGTTTACATATGCCTCTTCCTGGAACCTCACTCTCTGCTTCAGGAGTGGGCAATTAGAGAGAATTAGGCCCTATTTGGTGTATGTTTACGGTTAATGGCTGGAGTGGTGGAGGCAGCCTCGGGAAAGGCAGTCGCTGGTCTAATTGAGGCTAGCAATTTCTCGATTCCTCGTTTCAGTTCCCAGGTATTATAACAACCAAGGTCACAAAACAAAGGCTGCAGCCCACTGTGGCAATAACCAGGTGCGGGACCAACCGAGGGCTCTGTGAGCTTATTTACCACGCACATGCCGAAGCACAAAGGGCTAGCTAGAGGCGTCTTGGGACGGGCAGCTGGCACAGGCCTGGTTACCGAGCACTTTTCCAGAAGTTGCCACCCTGGTGGCTTTTTCAGGAAGTTCTCAGCTGAGCGGGCGAGGGCACCAACAGAGGTGTTGCCCAGGGTCTCGGGACCAAAGGGCACGGGGTGAGCCACAGGGGATGGCACGGCCAGCCACACTCTCCTGGGACTGCCGCCACGGGGCCAGTCTCATTACACACCGACCACTCCACAGCCCGGAAAGTTTTCCAGGCTTGGCCGGCGGCCCACCCATTTGGAAAAATGCTCCGTAAAATGCCATCCCGGCCCCGGAGGGCGCAGGCAGCCCCTGGGAGCTAGACTGGGGTGTGAGCGCTGTGGGGATCTTGTTCACAAAAAGCTGACCATGGGGACTCCCTAATGACTGCGACCCCATTGCCCGTGCTGGTCAAGAGGGAGCCAGCCACCGGCAGCAGGTTTCACACCAGGGCCTGCTCTCCGAGATGGGGCACCAGCCCTCTCTGCTCTCTGTGTCCTCTCTAAAGCAGAGGGGGTGGGATGGAAGGGCACCAGCAATCTCTGACCCTCGGACTCTAAAGACCCAGCAAAGAAACAAACCACAGAGGACCACTGAGGCAGCCGGAAGGAAATCCCAGAGCTCCAAGGGCCCTCAGCTGCCCGTGATCCTGCATTGCCCCCTGTTACAGATGGGGAAACTGAGGCCAGAAGGCTAGAGACAGGATCCAAGGTCACACCCAGAGTTGGGGCTAAGCATGGGCTGGAACCAGCTCTCCAAAAGGCCGTGTCCAGAGCACCCATTCAGAATTTTCTTCTCCGACCGACAAGTCCTAGGGAGTGGGAGTGTGCCCTGCTCCCAGCCAGGAGGCTAGTGGGGGCCCAGTCTGGACTCCTAAGGCCTTCCACCCACCACCCCCTCTGGTGAAACAGGGCCCTTGCCTTTCCCAAACTGACATCCCATGCTCCTTCTGCCTTAGAGAATATGCAGAGCTGACAGGTTACTGCCTCCTTTTACAGATGGGGAAACTGAGGCCCAGAAGCCAGCAGCAAGAAGCACCGGCCAAGACTGAGATGGGGACTCCTTCCTCTCACGGCAGGGATTTCTGCCCCAGTTCCCCAGAGGGGCTAGAGCCTCAGGACAGTTGGGGGCCGTGGTGGCGCAAACTCTTTGCCTTCCATCTGGTAGGGTCCCCTTGCCCGGGGCTGCCCCAGGGCCTGTGAGCCGTGCTGACCCCCATCATCCTCCTTAACGGTGAACACCGGCCCCCAGTTTCTTAAGCTGGGAGGAACGATTCTGCCTCCAGTACCAGGCAGGCCCGGAGAATGGGACGGGGCGGGGGCGGGGGGAGGCAGGAGCCACCCCACTGCGGGGCCCGAGGGCTGGCACAGACACGTGGTCAGCCTTCACCCCTCCGGCCCTCCTCCCGGCCCCCTCCCCCCGACCCTGGAGGCCGGTCTCCCCTGGCCGCATCTGCCTGTCTGGCATTCTCTTGGGCATCAGGCCCGGTTTGATCCAATTCTTGTTTACCCGCAGAGGCGCAAGGATTCTTCCTCCTGAGAAACTTGCAGAGAAGCCCTAGAGCCAAGGAGCATGAGCATGTCCAAGGTTGCGCTGAAGGGGCGACTAGTTAACCGTGTCATTGTGCAGCCTCTTGTCTGCGTGGCGCAGCCCCCGACACACACACAAGGAAGGGGCCACCGCGGCCCCCGAGGGAACACACACACACTCTGGTCCAGGGAAGGTGATTGAGCTTTTCTCCTTTTCATCTGAAGAAAAGGCACCTTCTATTGAAAGAATGTATTCACAGGACCTGGGAAAACTCATGTGCACTCAGCCCTCCCGATTATCCCCAGGTGGCTGTTCTCCATGGGGGGCGCCCCCACATTCCTTTCTGCCTGCGCCTTTGTTCAGCCTCAAACGGCCCTGGGAGCTCCCAGGCTAAGAGTCTCCTCCTTAAGCCCCTGCCAAAGACCCTATTCACTGCTCAGAGGAGCCAGGCAAAAGGTGGTGGGCAGCCTTCTCTGCCCAGACCCCCAGGGTGGGGGACTTAAGAACTCTCCATCTGGATTGTTTTTAAGCCCAAAGAAACTGGAGAGCAATTAAGAGACCCACGACTACACCCTCCACCAGCCTCCTCTCCCCTGATTAATTCCCCTCCCACACACATCCCAAGTGAGGGCCCACCCCAGCCTCGGCTCCTCAGCACCTGCTCTGGCCCCTGGACCCTCATGAGCCCGCGACTTGGGGGAAGGGGCAGCTGAGAAGACAAACACAGATATTTCTGGAGACTTTCTCATCAGTCAGTTCCCAAAAGCATGGCTAGAAGGATCAGTTTTCCACAGTGAAGACCGGGGTAAGGGACCGAGTGTCTAAAATCCAGAAGGCACTAGAGATTCCAGGATGTATGGGCTCCTCAAAGATGGGTCTCTCACCCTGGCACAGATGAGGAGTCCCCCCACCAACACTCGCTTCCACTGGATCCAGCTGAACTTGGGACCCCTCTCGATGGTGCTGCTCTGTCCTGCTGGCGTGTAGGGTGCCAGGGCCAGGGGGTGGGGGGACACCTCTGGGGGCAGACCTCCTCCCCCAACAGAGTCCCAAGGGCTCTCTGAATTCTTTCCTGGCTCTGAAACACGGACTCATTCCACACCGAGGACGAGAGCTGCCTCTGCAACAGCCCGTCCCTCAGACTACCCTAAGGGCCCGAATTCTCGAAGCCATGCAGGACTCGGGGCTGCCCCCTTGGAACCAGGTACCATAGAGAGAGCTGTCCCTCCCTCCCTGCCCACACTCCTGTCCCCCTTTCAAAATGGGAACCCCACACTGGAGATGGCCTCGTTTGGGAAGATACAACTCTTGTCCAGAATTTTCCATCTGCTCACACCAGAGATGGGAGACCAGGCGATGCTTCCTTGTTCGCCATTTAGGAGAGAGGACAGGACTCAAAGCAGCAGAGGGAAGGGGGACCGCTCCTGGGACGGACTCACACTGTGTTAAACACGGGTCTTCTAAAAAGAAACTGCCCCCAGAGCTGCAGGCCTTTCTCAATTCCGCTGACAGTGTTGCTCTCTCCGTCGCCCACTGCCCTTTAACCCTTCAGAACCTTAATTTGTCTCCCTCCACACCCCCTTCTGTGTAAAGCCGCCTTCTTCTTTTCAAGGAAAAATTCATTAGCAAGCTCATTAAAGATGGGTCGATTTTTTTTCTCTTTCTGGAAGTCAGATTGCTCACAAAAAACACATTGAAGTTACTTCATGTAAACGAATAAGAAACACATGCATCATGTTGCCCTTAAGTCTTGCCAGGTTTTGGACATTATTTGGAGAAATGTGCTTGGAAATGCTTTTGGGGTTTGAATCACAAGTCAGGAGGCACGAGGTCAGGGGCCCTGAAAGCTGCAGTGAGGCCCCCCAAGCAACCTGCAAGTGGGGAAACACGGGGCCGAGGGGGCACTCTGTGTCTTTCCATGAGCACAGAGGCTGAGCTCTGCTCTGGGCTCCATTTCCCACCCACCCAGGGGGAGTCCAGTGGGATGGGAGCGCCAGCTTCTAGACAAGACCACCATCTCCTCCACACATCTGTGCCCTCCTGGAAGCATCCAGCTAGAGGCAGGCCCTGGGGACCAGCCTTGCTCGTAACAAATGGACAGAGAAACCCCTCCCGCCACAGTGACAGGGCCCTCTGCCCTCTGTTGGGCCCGTCAGGGGCTCCTACCCACCCCTTACTGCTCAGGGATGGGCCAATCCCTCCAAAAAAGAATTGTCCTAAAAATGATCATTTCTTTTAACACTTAAGAACGCCTGGGATGTTCGACTACAAGGCTGATTTATGATGTTCTGTTTTAACTCCTTTAATTGAGAAGAATACTTGATCTAGTCTTTATTTTCTGCTTAGTGACACACAAAACCCAAAATACGTGTGACACACAAAAACATCTATTTGCCTGAGACGGAACACTCACAAGTGTACCTGAAATAGAACTAGGCCCAAAGAGACCCCATCCCACACTGCGGTGGAGGATGAGGGGCAGGGGGCTGGCAGGGGCTGGGGCGAGCTGGACACCTGCCTTCACCTTGACTCTGGCCCTCAGCTCAGCCCACCTTGAGGGAGCGCTGAGATGTCCCTCCGGAAGAATCCAGAAACCACGGGCACTTGGCTCAGACTAGCTATGCGGATCCGTCTGGCAAGCTCCGGATGCGACCCCCCCCGCCGCCCCTCCCAGACCTGCATCCTGTCCTATGTAAACCTTCCTTCCTAGGCCTCTCTCTCTGCCACGTCACTCTGCTTGCAATGGCTCAGCAAATGCCAGCTACGGAGTAAATATCACAGGGCAGAGCCTTCCTGGGGCCCCTCCTTGGATTCAGCCCTGGGCACACACTCCCCGCCTCAAGGCAGCCTGACTAGCTCTCCAGGGAACAAAAACAAGCAGGCAAAAGACAACGGTCCCCAGGTTCAGATACCTCCGGCCCCTTGCTGTCTACACTGACGGGTTTTGTTTAAAAATAATATCCACACCCCATCTCCCTTTCAGTGGAGAAGGGCAGGGCAGACCTGGCTCTGAAACCGCTGTGGGATGAAAGGGCATTACGGAAGCTGAGTTAGAAACCCAGGACTGCGCGGGGAGCGCGGGGGTCTGCAGCACCAGGAGGAGGGGCCCCCTGCTCTGTTCATCGCCTGCCCTCCCACAGACCCTGCATGTGGGCACCAAAGGGGACGCTGGCATCTGGCCCAAGGGCACTGGGGGACCCACCCGAGTCTCCATCAATGTTTGTGGGCTTGAGTTAGCCTCACCAGGCCATTCCCCATCTCCCACCCGGACCACCCCAGGAGTCTAACTGGCCTCATCCATCACCCCAGTGGCTACCCCAGGAGCACTGGACGAGAGGCCCCACAGGCACAGAGCTGGCCTCGCTAGCCCGGCCCCCTGCGCTGTCGGCTCCTGGCACCCAAAAAAGGAAAGTGCCCTCAGCCGAGCTTCCTTCACTTCCTGTCCACCTTGCTTAGCTGCCACAGGGGCCACGTAACTGCGTGGGAACCCCCAGGGAACCCCTCTAGACCCTCCGGTCCTTGAAGCAAAGCTGGCTTTAGGCACCCCAGGAGAGCCCCAGCCCTGAGCCCCCATGGCTCCATCCATGCGTCTTGAATCAGTAAAGCACAGATAAACAAATGACTCGTTCTGGCGTGAACTGTGTGGCTGTAATCCTCTGCTTTCTTCTTCTCTACCATTACTGATTTTATTTAAACAGACCCAAACATTCCCATCTCATTGCAATTTCAGGGGTGAGGAAAAGGGGCCAAGAGAAGAACTCACTCAAAACCACTCTGTGATTAAAGGACATTATCAAAGCCTGGTGTGTGAGAACCCAGCACTCTCACGAGGGCTGACATTGCGTTGGCTTTCAGGGAGAAAGGCTTTCTACAGACAGACAAGCTTTCCCATTTCCACGTCTCCATGCTGGCCCTCTGGCCAGGCCTCGGAGACCAGAGAGGGCAAATGCACCATTCTTCATTTCATTCACGTGCCTAGCAAAGCTGCACGGGGGACCTACTGCGTGCCTGGCCTGAGTTGGTTCTCGCCAGAGTTGTGGACACCCCTCACTTACCGTGCCTGGCCCACAGCATGCCACTGCCCAGGGTGGGCCCCACCCATGCTGGCTCCATGTGGCCACAATCCTGGCTCCAGGCAGCTTGCAGACCCCGAGGCCGCGGGGTTGGTGAAGATTCACTCTTGGTAGTGGCCCCCTCCCCAGGCGAAATGTATATATTCTTGAATAGAGATGTGTGAGCTGAAACTAATGAGATCCTGGTGTCCCAAGAAAGCAAGAAACTCACCCCAAACCAGGAGGAAGTGGAGAGGCACGGGGCTGGGCCTGAGATGTCAGGCAACGGGCAGCAAGGCAGGCTCGGTGGTGCAGGCCAGTGGTCCTCCGGGGGCTGCTTCAGCCTCTTCCATCTGGTTCTTCGGCCGGCCCCAGCCAGGTCGCAGCCGGTGTGCCCAGGACAGGGCTGACCTGCAGGAGAGGCAGGAAATCAGGACTACGACAAGGCTAGCACTCCAGAAGAGCTATACACACACACACACACACACACACACACACACAAGAAAAGGCATCGAGCCCAGTCTCACCTGCAGCGTCGTTTTTGGTGGAAGGAGGTGGCTCGTGGAGATGAGCAATGACATGAAGAGGTGAAGGAGAGGCAACGGGCCTAGACGGCAGCCCCCGCACCAGCCGTGAGGCCTGGGGCACGGCAGAGCCCAGGACTCACAGGCAAAGGCTGTGGCTAACACCCAGTGGGACAAGACAAGAGGTCTGGGGGGATGGGGAGGGGCAGGACAGAAGTCTGGCTGCAGCCGTGGTCGCTCCCCCCCACCACGGGAGGAGGCATCCGAGGATGGTTGGGGGAGGTGGCATGCCAGCAGGGGCCCGTCCCATGGGCACTGGGGACCAGTTGTCTGACTGCACAGGGAAAGGGGCTCCTTAGGCTGGAGGAGGGGCATTTGGACCCAACACAAGGCCCAGAGGCAAGCAAGCGGGAGATGGAGGAGGAAGCAGGCAGGGCCAGGTAACCACAGGTGTGGGCTCAGCAAGGAAAACCAACCAGCTAGGCAGAGGGCTGGACAGCTGAGGTCCAGAGGGTCAGGAGCCCAGTGATTCGGGCAAGGAGAAGGGGTATGTAGGTCAGGCCAGGCGACAGACTACGGCAAGCAGAGCTGCAGGTGGGTCAAGCGGGCCACCAGACAGAGCGGAGCAGGTGGGCAACCAGGCGGAGGTAGAGCCTGCAGAGCTCCCTGGAGGTTCCCAGCCATCGCCTGGGCTGCAGAGGGGCTAGATTTAGTCCCAGGCGGAGGAAGGCATCGTGGAGGGAGAGCTCCAGGCCACAGACCCCAACTCAAGAGGGAGACCCTTGTGGCCAGAGCCCGAGGGGCACCCACACCACAGCGGTTCCTGTGCCCCTGCCTCAGTCCTGAGCTGTAGGGCAGGGGGCCAGGGCAGCCATCAGCACTCAGCCACGGGATGGGGATGGGGGTCGGAGGCAGAGGGGGCAGGAGGGAGCAGAGCCCTGGTGATGTACAGCTTCAAGTGAGCTCCAGGGTTTAAATTAAAGGTCACGGGGGCCAACTGGCCCAAGGGAGGCAGACCAGGCCGACCCCTCACACCCCTCTGCCGGCCTTCTCCACAGAGCCGGAGACCACTGCTCCAGCACAGGACACAGCATGAGGCCGCCCTCAGCGGAAGCCACCCCCCGGCCAGCCCTCCCGGGGAGGCAGAGGCCATCAAGGGACACGCTAAGGGATGCCGGGCCGAGCCGGGGCCGGGCCGTGGGCTCGCTCAGTAAGGATCAACTGTTGGATGACGGGATGGACGCCTGAGTGAATGAAGGGGCAGGACCAGCAAAGCCCAGCTCAAATGGGGCTGGGAGTGGAGCGATGCCCACTCCCCGTCAGTGAAATGAAATCCACCCTCCACCCTTGCCTAAAGCTCCTCGGTCCCCAAAGACTACCGTCTAGCATCACAAGTATGGCGGTTCCTTCATGGACTCACCTGCCCAAACAGACATCCCACATACTCTTACTGAACCCCACTTTGTGCCAAGCTGAGGCTGGGGCATCCAGAGGCATGGGCTGGCCTAGGGCACCCCCAGAGGACCAAATCAGGAAATGGTGATGAAAGGAGGGGAGGAGGAAGGGGGTGGAGAACAGAGGTGGGCAGTAAAAGCAGAAAAACAGAAACTCAGAATTGTGGGGTGGGGGCATCTCCTGGCCTCACGCATTCTCTGCTTTTCCACCTGGTGAAGCCACCTCTTCCTAGAACTATCCAGAGCCTCCAGGATTGATTTAATGAAGGATGTTGAGACCAGTGGGTTCTGGGAGCCAGGGGGCTCACGCAGGAAGCCAGGCTGGACCCCTGGGCTGGAAAGTGTGGGGAGCAGGGGGGTCCTGTGTGCACAGGCAGAAGAGAGCGATGTCCTTCCCAGGCATAGAAGGGATGCGGTAGAAACAAGGGGGCAAGTGACAACAGGCCACCCCTATACTCAAGGGAGCAATTAGCTCAGACCCCTCTGCTGGTGGCCTCAGAAAAGCCTAAGAAGACTGCCTAGTTTCCAGAAACCCAAGCAGGAGCAGAGTTGGGGGAGAGGATTTTTGTCAATGCCAGGCACTCGGGGTGAATGGGTACACAATGGAATGAGTACAAAACCCCCAAGATCCTGGCCAACCAATGCCTTCCACGGCCTTCCCAGGTTCTTAGATGCTGGCATATTAATGACTTGGGGGCCTGTATTTTAATTACTGTTTATCGGAGAAAAGGTCTGTGGTTAACTTTTTCCTATTTAAAATTAAGTCCTCTCATTTAGAAACACCAGGAACTGCTCTATCATGTTACTCTCCAATAACTACAGAGTGGGGTAGGCTTTGGTGGGATCCCTAACTTCAGAGGTGCTCATCCTTACCAGTCTCCTCACCCAGGCAACATCTGGGTCACCTGGACATCCTTTGACATGGTTAAGGTGCCTGACAAGCTGGGTTTGCAGAGTTGAAAAGAGCAAGCTTAACTCTGAGCCATGATGCCAGAGTACCTTTAACCAACAGAGAATTTGTGGGCCTCCTCCCTTCTCCCACCATTTTCCATTTGGCTGAAGGTCTGGCTAGAGTCTGTTGATTAACTGGGAGTGATCTAATCTTGACTGATCGGCCTTGGGGTGAGAAAAACCCAGAACTTGGGACACAGAAGGGCAGGTTTCAGACTTGGGGGGCTACCTGCTCTAAAGATATCGATGGGCTCTGGGGCATCCAAAGATCAGGACAGAAGCTTGGGGTGGGGGCGCAATTCCACTGGGGCAAAGGGCATATGGGGGAGGGAGATAAGGAACAGGTAAAAGCAGGGACTATGGGTTCTGATGCCAGATCGGAGTCGTCCCCTCTGTGCACTTGGCGAGTGATCCCGACAAATCGCTGGCCCTCTGACACTCAACGCTCAGCAGTATGTCGGAGCCAAATGTGAACCGCAAACCTTGCAGTTCCGTTGCGGGGGCGGGAGGGGGGCCTCTGGGACACCAATATCCATCTGTTTCTTGACCGGGATGGGCCATTCCATGGGTGCTGGCCTTGGGATAATTCCATGGGTTCTCCAGGTAGATTATTAAGTTTTTAATGATCAGTGAGTCCTGAAATAGGTCAGGTGCGTGCTCTAGTAGGAAACGCGCACGCCCATTCCCGGGCTTTTTGGAGACTGAATCCAGGAGGCATGGAGCGCCTGGACCATGCGACATCTGTGTGTAGTACAGTCGAACAAAGGAACTTTCTGCAAAGCAGCCCTATCTGCGGCAGGCTTCCCAAAGCGGCCTTCAACTTTCAACCCCACTCAATGGACCCCTCACTGGGACAGAGGCAAAGACTTAAATGAGGAGCAAATGAAACCCAGGCTCCAGCCCCAGAATTAGAAGTGTGGCCTAAGCACTGGTCGCCCCCGCCTGCGGACGCCAGTTCACCTCATTATGATAATCAGTGTGTTTTTCCTTCACAGACAAAGAAGGGCTCCTTATGAGACGAATATTGGAATCCAGCAGCTACCTCATTAACGTCTGCAGCCTCTTCCTTGACAAGGCCCAAGATTAGCCCTGTGTTCATTAAGGGGAAAGGGCGGAAAGTGGAATAAAACTGAAAACCACAGCTGGGGGGGGAGGGGGAGGGCGCTTTCTGTGGGCCATTCATCCGCTGAAAGGCTGCGTGTACCTTCGGGACTTAATCACCAGCAAGGGGGGCTGGGGAGGGTTTAACCAGGATGCAGGAGGTAAAGAGGTTAAACTTGATAGAAGGAGTTAAAAACTCAAAATGGGGCAATTTGATTTGAAAGCTTCCTGGGATTTGTCACTGGGATAATCAATTTAAAACCTTTTTCCTGTTTACTTTCTTTTAGCCGGACCCGACCCAAGAGGAAACCTTTCTCTGGATGGGTTTTTGGTAGATTTCAATATTTTCTAAGTCTCCCTTCCCCACTTTTTGGGGCCTCTAGTGTCTTTTCTTACTGTTTTTTTTTTTTTTTTCTTTTTCTTTCTCTGCTACTCTTCCCCCACCGCCGCCCCCCATGTTTTTCTTCCCTCTTTGGTTCTCCCCGTGGGAACTTAACCTGCCAGAAAAGCTGATGGGGACTCCGGTTTTCTCATGAACATTTTATTGACCTTATTTCAAGTCCCTCAACTAGTGTCTGGTTCTTACCTGCAACACATCCCACCTGACCTGCCAGGTAAAGATTAGTAACCCTATTCCAGAACTGAGAAAAACATGGCTTGGAAAACCTGACTAACCCCAAGGCCTCAACACCAGGTGGTTCAGCCAGGCCTCAAACCTGGCAAGATGGTAAGACGGTAAGAGGCAGGCTCCCAGACAGGAGAGCTGTGGATACTCCAGTTCCTAGGAGAAACTAAGAATGAGGGAAGCCAGGAGCAGGTGATTCTGTGAAGCATCTGGGGAGTATATGTCAACAGGAGGGAACCAGAGCCGAAAGCCCTGTGAGGGCCAAGAATGAAAATGTGTCCGTGTGTCCGTGAGCCGGAAACGTGTCCAGAGTTAAGCGACAGAAAAGTCATTACCTGAGGTAGGGTCGTTCGACGGAGCAGAACAAGTCAGGAAGCAGTGGGTTGAAGAGGAAATTGGAGGTGAGGAAGGAAGACAGCAAGTGTAGACAGGCCTTTCGAGAAGCTTGGCTGCGAAAAGGAAAGAGACAGGCTGTAGTGGCTGGAAAGGAGGTCGGGGTGGGGGGGCCTTGGGAGGCTCCCTGCTGTGGAGAGAGCAAAGTTAGGAATTGAGAGGGAAGAACTGGTGGCGGGAGGGACAGGTAGGTCTGAGACAAGAGGGGCCAGCGCAGTGGACACCTCTTCCTTCACTACCCAAGAGGGGGCGGGGGTGGCAAATGTGCCGTGGGACCCCAGTCGGAAGAACACCTTGATGGCCTCTATTCCCTTTGGAGGTGGCAGGCCAGCCCCGGGGTCGGGACAGGGAGTTGTGAGGTTCAAATGAATCCACGGTTGCAAAAGGCCTTTGCGGACTGCAAAGGGAGACATAAATGTTCACTGTAATTACTCACTGGTAGCAGGACGCTCAATTGTACGGCCCACTCAAACCTCACCGGGGCCTGGATTTTCACTGACCATAAATTATGCGTCCTTACATTAAGGATGTAAAAACCAGTGGTAAAAGCTCCTGCCAGCCCCTGGAAGACAAAAGGTTCCCTCCTAATAGCCTGGATTAACTCAAAGCAGCTCTCCGCCCACTTCATTTGTCACCTTCCAAGTCACCCTTCCACCTTCTATTTGCCACATAATCCAATCAGCCCCTTTCAGATGCCCAGGAGCTATTGTCTCCATCGAGCGGGGCTTCTCTATAGCGGCCGGAGTTGTTTTTGTCTTGTCCGGACAAAACTGGTTGGCTTAAAAGGGGACGAAAGAAAGTGCGGGTCGAATGAGGACCCCAATTAGCTTCCAGGAGACTGTTTTCATCATCTTTGGATCACATACCAGGCCTGGAGTGCTGGGCATATTGTCGGAGTTCCAGAAAATGTTTGTTGAATTAATTCTGCTTTTATTTACTCTGGAATTTATTTATTGAGCGCAAACACACACAGCACCTACTGGGTGCCGTTATTACTGAGGGAGAATGGGGTTGGGCATGTGCACCATGAGGCGCTAACCCCGGGAGTTAAGTATCTAGCAATTTCCACAGCGATTTACAAAGCACTTTCATAGTGGTTACATCATTTGGTCTTCAAAAGCGCCCCATGGGGTACATAAATGCGGGTGCTTTTTTCTTCTTCTTCTTCTTTTTTTTTAAATCCCCATTTAGCCCATGAAAGGGACTGGGGCTTGGAGAAGTTAAGTGACTTGTTTAAGGTCACACCATCATTGAAAGGTGGAACCAGCACATGGCACCCGAACTGGGGCCACCCAGGCCCCCGAGACCACACTAGACAGCTGGGATTTCAAAGAGGCTATCCCACTGTCAAATGCCTGATTGGAAATCAAAAGGCTCTTAGTAGAACTCTGGGCCGGGGGGGTGGTGAGGGGCAACCACAAGGGCACCCAGGGTCCAACTTGGACCTCTTCTCTTGCCAACAATGTGACAAAACACTTACACTCCTCCAGCCTCAGTGTCCCTGCTGTGAATGTGAATGTGTCCTGTGCCATGGGAGGGGGCACTTGCTTCTCCTAAGTCCTCTTTCCCCCGCCACCCCCGACCCTTTTAAAATCCCCCCAAATCAATGTCGAACCCATTCTCATCTGTAAATTGAGGCTGCTTCGTGCATAGGTATGCACGACATGGAAATAAGACACTCGTAGAACATAGAAAGTGTTCTGGAAATGACCACATGCAAGATTCATGTTCCTACTCAGGTCAGCCCAACGCCCATCTTGGTGGACCCCTACCTGCTTCAAGGAGAGCCCCGCAGACAGGGGCTGCCTGGAGTGCTGCGGGAGAATAAACGAGAAGCATGAGACGAGAGTGACAGGGGTGGGAAGGGACTGATCTACCAGACTTTTTTCACCAGACATTTGCTGACCACCAACTCTACGCCCAGCGCTGCCTGAGGCAGTTTTATCTCATTCAATACTCACAACAACCCTGGGAGGCTGCTCTTCTTGTCCCCGTTCCCCAGAAAGAACAGGGAGATCTGAGAAGAGGTGGGGATGCCCTTGGCAGTTCGGTAGCATGGCGTCCAGGGCTCATGCTCATTCCAGAAGCCCACCCTGGGCCTTGGAATTGCCAGTGAGATGCTGGTGGAGCCCTTGGCCCAGGTCCCCCTCCTGAGAAGTTCCCAAAGGGATCCTTCTGTTCAGGACATCAGACAGGCAACAACAGGGTTGTCATCGGAGAGAGACTGACAACTCCTTGGGGAGGGAAACACTCCAGGTCACTGGCACATGAACACAAGCAGAGACTTAGAGGAAAGTATTCACAGCATCAAGGCATAAGCATAGCAAAGGCCAGGGGTTAATGACCGATGCCCCCTCACTAGGGCAATGGTTCAAGCATTCAGCCAAGAGGGAGAGCTGGCTGGTCGGATCTGGTCCTCTTCATCCTCCATCATCCTCGTCCCGGGGGCTCTCTGCCAGTGGCTGCTTTGTATGCGGGTGCCATCCAGGGGTCGGAGCTCCTAGTGTCCTCTGCAATTGATCAAAGGTTAGAGGACCCACTTAAAAGCCCAAGTCTAGGTAGTAATTAAAATTTAAATCAATTAATTACAACTAAAACTAATTAGTTAATATTTAAAATGGTCTTTTCATTGCTAATGGGTCTGGGGGTGGTGCAAAGAGGGTGGCAGGGGTGGGGATTCTGCCCGTCAGTTTGGGTTATACACTGCCACAAAGAGGGACTGAGGTACCATCAGGTGGAGGTGAGCAGCAAGCACCTTGGCAGCAGCGTGGCATCGAGAGGTGGTCCTTGAAGACAAGGAGGTGAACGGATGATGTCATCCCTGAAGAGACCCTATGGCATGGGAAGGGGGCCGGATTAGAAACCATCTTGATGACCTCTAACGGTCAGCACAGGAACAGCAGAGAGAGGGAGGGGGCAGTCAGAGAGAGAGGGAGGGAGCTGTGGGAAAGAGGGGGTAGGAGGAGGGAGGAGTTAGGAGGGAAGAGGGAGGGGCATGGAAGGAAGAGGAAGGGGAGGGGGAGGAGGGAGGAGGGAAGGGGAGAGAGGAAGGGGAGGGGAAAAGAGGGATGAGGAAAACGAAAGGGGAGGGGGAAGAGGAGAAATGGGAGGGGCAGAAAGGAAAGAGCTGAAAAGGGGAGGAGGGAGAGAAGTGGGAGGGGGTAAGGAAGACTTGATTGACAGGGCACAAGTGTCAGCTGGGTGCGCATGCGCAACCTGAGGCCAGGCCTAGCGGGCCAAGAACCATTTGCAGACACAGACCGCTAGGGGGCGCGCGGCCAGCACCCAAGGACTCAGGAGCACAGCCACCTGCGGCGTGCGCGCGCGCGCCCCTGCAGCGCCTGGCCCGCAGCTGCCAGGGGCACAGCTGGCATAGAATGGGCGGGGGGGCGCGCAACAGGTCTCAGGCTGGGTTGCGGGGAGGCCACAGCCCACACCAGCACATCGCGCAGGGCCGCTATGTCCCCGAAACACCACACCCGCCATCGCATGCCAGAATCCACCTGTGGACATCGAGCAGCGCCCCCCAAAACATGTCCAAGGGCCCTTCAGCACCCCAACTATGGGGGTCACCCTGCATCAGAGAGACACATAAGGCTATCAAGAAGGCACTCTCCGTAGGATCTTTCCAGAACACGATTCCACTTTTAATAAGTAAAAACACAGAAATCTTGGCTGTGACCTTCGGTAAGTCCCCTTAAACATAAATTAATTAAAATTATAAAGGCCCAGTTCTCGATACACTGTCTTCACTCATTTGTGTGGTCTTTGGACACATGATACAAAACAGTATCGCTAAAAAATAATATAAAGTCAGCCAAAACCACCTAAAATCATCCAGAGCACCATCGACCCCCCACCCCCTCCCACCGCGCAATCTCATCTCCCTTCTTGGCCACAACAAGAATTTTAAGACCTCGCACGATGACACCTAATTAACAATTTTACGACCCCTTCATCCTGCTCAAATGAGCCATACCTTCCTAAGACCCCCCCAAAACCAAAACCGACTAAGATAAACTAATCTGCGTCCACGCTCTTCCACGACACCCTAAGTCACACAGCCAGTGCGAATCACCGCATCTCTGCCCAGCGTGAATGCTCCAGCCGCTCCCCAGTGAAGCCCCGGATCTTAAAACATTTCCCCCTCAGGTAAATGAATCCAGAATTCTCCAGTAAATCCCGCGCTCGACCCCCTCCAGCAGAAGAACAAAGGCCACCTCCCCTCGCCACCCCGCCCCCCAAAATTCCGCAGTGCCACCGGCGCCCTCTGGCGGCCAGCAAGAGAACTTTCCAGAAACCTGCCACGTAGCAACCCGCTCGCGCCCCCCCCCGCCAGCCCGCCGGCCCAGAGTGGGGAGGGGGCGGCGTGGGGGGGCTTGACAGGGACAAAGGAAATGGCAAAAGACGACTTTATCAAAAGTCAAAAGCCCGCAACATGTCAGAATCTTCTAGCGACCATCACGCGATGCTAAAAAGACCCCCGACCCCCAATTCCCAACTCCCAGCGCCTGGACAACCCCCAACACGCCCCCTTTTCCGTATTTCTCTCTTCCCTCTTGATTAGCCTCCCCCAGCCCCAAGGACATGGCCTTCTCTCCACCCCAACCCACCCCCCTGCTTCTATTCTGCCAGTGCCCCCAATGACTTGACCCTCCCCCCAGCCGCCCTTCTCTACGGAACTGATCCTAGGGGGCTTCTGATGGATCTGCACTTGGGCGCCATATCTCTCCACTATTAAAGTGACTGATCGGGGGCAACCAGATGATAGCAGTTAGCAATTTTACTCTAAATTTTGCCTGGAGTCTGCTCTGCACTAAACCCGTGTATTTGGATTCGCAATCCCTTGCGGTCGGGAACCTGTACTCCTCACGCCTACGGGCCACCAAGAACCTAGCCAAAAATTAGGGGGGAAATCTACCTGGGAGACTCTTCTTTTTAGGTGCCTTCCCCCCCCCCCCAACTCGTGGGGCATGCAAAATGCACCCGCCGCCATATCTCCCACCAACCGTGATTTTAAAGGTGGCTTCGAGGACAGAAAATCAGGGTTTTGGACCCCAGTGACTGCGGTACACGGGATTCTGACAAGGACCTGATCGGATTCCTCCCCCTGGTCTTCATTTAAGCCCCTACCACCCAGCCTACCCTCAAGCTAAGGGCTGGACAAGAAAAGGGCCCTGATTCCCCCACACACACCCCAGGAAAATGTGCCTCGAGATCTTCCTGCCGGACAGAATTTCATCGCCGACACTCGGGGACCAGGCGAGGTGGCCGCCTTCGAGAGAAGGTCCCCGGCGTCAGTCATCGGCATGTCCAGGAGGACAGAGCCCAACCTCGAAGGGGTGTCGTCTTCGATTTGCACATCCTTTCAGGCAAGGATGGCCAACCACTCACCAGGTGGGGAGATTCTCGCGTGGGCGCCCCGCTTATTCCCGAGGAGCTGCGGCCAAGGCCAGCGGGCCAAGGCGCGCTCCATCTCAGCTCTCCGCCGTCTGCGCTAGGGGCTGGCTGGGTGGGGTTTATATGGAGGCGCAGAAGGGGTGGTCTCTGACGTCAGCGCATTCTGCTGCAATGCGCTCATTTCTCCAAAAGTGATTGGCCGGAAAAATGAGCCCCCCAGATTCTATGACAAATTGCTCTAGCCGCACCCAGATTGCAGCAAAGAAGGGAGGAAAAAAATCTGCCGCAGTGCCCCTCGCCGCCATGACCAACACCCTGTGTTCGCTGGTGCTTTTTCCCGACGCGAGACCCGCTCGCCGAGCGGGGCGATCTGTCCGCACGATTTGCTGGGAGAACGGAACCGGGGATGGTTTTCCTCAGGCGGGCCGAGGGTAAAGCTGGGGCGCTGGGGGCAGCAGATCCCACACCTGAGTATTTCGGAACCTCTACCAGAGGATGCGGCTTAGGGAAAGAAAATGATGCTTTCTGCTTATTGTTCCGGAAAAAAAAAAAAAAAAAAAAAAAAAAACGCCCCGAGCAAGATAACCAGTACCCAAATGTAAGTCAGCGGCTGTCACCCCCTTTTAGCCCACCCGTCCATTTCTGATTGGTTATCTTTGACATGGAAGCCTCCGCGCAGCATTGCATCTCCGAGTCAGAAAAAAAACGGGTTTTGAGTCCCGGGCTTTTGCCGCTTACAACCTGTGCACGAGAACCTTGCAACGTCCCTTCCTCTGCCAGGGGGTCTGTTTCCTACATGTTCACAAGGGGGTACCCCTCCCCACCCGGGGTCCTAATAATAACTTAGACATGAGCCGTGTCCCTCTAGGGAAAGTACTTTTCGAGGAGGACCGTGTCCCACGTGGAGATGCATGGGGTACCCCCCAAAATTGAGGTGATTTCCCCCACACAGACACTTTGAAAAGCCCTCCCCCTCCCCGGACCGCCCCGGGGAAACAGGCAGCGACACATGTTGGGGCAGAGCATAGCTGCACGGCCTCGTGCTCCGGGACTTGGCACATGAGATTTAATCCGTAACAGGTGGTGCCTTCGGCAGCTCTGCCGGGCACTGAGTGGCAAAGCGGGCAGGGCCGTCAATCAAATGTCCTCTCGGAAAGGTCAAAATGCTGTTGAAAGGGACTAAGGATCTATCTTAGGGTGACAGGTGGGTGGCAGCCGGGAGGGCAAGGATGAAGCGCCTAGTGACAGAAGAGGGGTGAGAATGAGTGATGGGTCCCAAAGGGGAAAGGCAGAGGGGCCCTGCGGGGACTATCAAGTTAGAACAGCTCCCTCCGCACTACTTGGAGGGGGGGAAGTTTCAAAGCAGCTTCCGATCGAGCCTCCCCTCTCCCCCCCCCCCCCCGCCCACCATGCCCAGCGATCCTGCGAGGGGGCTTTCACACAGGCAGGAGACTCTGGGGCTGAAAAGAAGGGACAGAGCTATTTGTAAGCCCACGGGTGGTGGTAGGGAGGTGAAAGTGGACCACCAGGTCACGAGAGACACCGAGCCTTGGGCGGGGGGCTCGTTTATAGGTGAGCAGTTGTGCTGCTGAGGAGATGGAGATAGAGTGGGCTTTGGGGGGCATGGCGGGGAGCCACCCTAAAGTGTCAAATAATGTGGGTGGGCAGAACACTCAATTTACAGCCTGGGGAGCACGCAAGGAGCCCCAGAGACTAGAGTCCGCCCTCATGACTAGCGAGACAGAAAGGCCTGCACCAGGTGCAGACGTCAAGAAAGCTTCCAAAAATCATGGCTCCGAGCATCCTTGTCAACAGGAGAACGTTTATTAGCCTCAGTATTAATAGCTAGGAAACAGCCGGAGCGGGCCGGGACCAATCAGCGTTCAGGAGCCCCTGTCGTCAGGCCTGCGCAGCCAATCAGGCGCCGGCAGGCCCGGTTGCTAGCCTCTCGGGGCCCGAGGCGAGGGGTGTGCATTGTCACGGGGGCTCCCGCTCGCCCCCCACGCGTGGGCGGCCTGCGTGGGAGCCCAGGCGGCCACCAGAGAGCGTCAGTAGCCACGCATTCTGGGCCCCTGGAGGCTGTCCTAGAGATGGTGCCTCCTGGCGTCAGCCCGGCAGCCCCAAAAGGACATGAGTTGATGCTCTGGGAGGAGCCCCAGGCCTTGGTTGGGTGCCCCCGGGAGGCCCAGGAAGGAGAAACTCCAGACATCCATGCGCATCTCTTCTCAGGGCCTGGCGCCCAGGAGGAAAGTTGGGCCTCCTAGTGCAGTCAGCCTCTCTGCTTTTTTTCTGGTCTCCCTGGCTCCAACGCCCTGTGCTCAAGAGCTTAATGGTAAAGCCCACTCCTCTTTTTCAGGGTCTTACTGACAGGCCAAGGTAAAGGACCCTGGAAATTATGTGTCTCTGACAAAAGCGGGGGGGGGGGCAGGGGGTGGATCCCCGCTCTGCTCCCTCCTAACTGGGAGGCTGAGGTCCAGGCCTCTCCCTGGGCCCCTATTTCCTCATCTGGAAAAAGGAAAGAGTTGGACAAGATGGTCCCCAAGGAGCCTTCCAGTCCTGCTTTGCTTGATTTGAATGTATACATCAGGCGAGTCAAATGTCTTCCAGAACATTCTGCATGACAGTAATTAGTATCAGGTGTATCCTGCAGCCCATGTGGTTACTTCATCATTCTGCTTTTCTTTCCATTGTATTTTATTTTAAACAGAACACCATGGCAACATGTTTATCCTTCTGGCTTCCTAAAAGAAAGAAAGAAAGAAAGAAAAAGATAGAAAAAAAAAAAGCAAAGAGAGAAAGAAAACACTGCTGTAAACTAATCTCTACTGAGCATGGTTTAAACCACAATAAAAAAAGATATCCATATGTTTAAATGTTTTTGTTGGCTTTTCTGGAGCTCAGAACCTAACTTTTTAAATATTTATTGGTCCAAAGCAATGGAAGAAATAACTTGAAGGAGCCAAATCTATGGTAATATTTGGATCCAAACTGTTTCTCAATCTGAGCAATGTCGTGCGTGCTTTCCTTGCTCAAAAAAGGACATTTGAGGGCTCAGATTGATATCAATAGGGCCAAACAGACAAGGAAATCCAGGTTTGAGAAATGACTCGTTTTCTTTCTGTACATGCTGAAACCCAGCTCTCTTGAAGGGCCCTGGAGGAGAGCCAGTGTCCCAGACGCATGGCTTAGCCTGTTGCCTTTTTTTTTTTTTTCACATAGATCTAATTCAAAGCACACATTTTTCTTCTTTTTTTAATTCATACTTGGGAACCCTCAAAAGCTGTGTGAGCAGTCTCCTATCCACATGTACATACTTGTGGGCAAGTGTACAAATGTCCTAAGATTTGGCCAGGAAATGAAGACAAGGTCCTCCTATATCAATCTCCCAGCCATGGGTAAATGCACTCTCTTCTTAAAAACCACACTGCAAGCTTTTACAAAATAGCATCCCCTGAGTGGCTGCTCCTCTAAGCAGATTTTCCCAGTCTTCCGGGTACCCCTAAAACGGTAGTATTCCCCAGAAATCTCTCGAGGCCCCTTCCACACTTCCCACAAGGGGCTACAGTGAGACTGTACCTTCCTAATCGCTAGTTCCAAAGCCAGCCTCTGACAATTCCAATGCCCCGAAATCACACATCTCTGAACCCCCCCAGCATCCCCCCCCACCCCACCCCTTGCTCCGTAGACCTCAGCCAAAGTCAGAGAAGCAGCAGGGTATTCAGAAGGCCTTCCCATGAAGTTATTTTGGGGTAGAGATGCCTGGGCATTGTCAGGAACAGCCTCTCTGCCTCCTATAAGGTGAGAGATTGGACCTCAAGCTGTCAAGGATTTGGGGGACATGATCAAAGAATAGTCCCATCTTCTGGGGTCCCGGAATTGACAGTGGCTCTTCTAGAATGCACACCAACCTGTTGCTCTGATGCTAACATCCCCTTAGGAAGTTTAAAGTAGGTTCTACACCCAACGTGGGACTTGAACTCACAACCCTGAGATCGAGAGTCGCATGCTCTTCCAACAGCACCAGCCGGGCGCCCCTCTCTGGAACTTGAGTTTGCCTTCAAAATAAAGTCTGACCTCTTTCGCATTTAAGGACTTGTACGAGGGGCTCACTTGCTACTTATTTATTATCCAAACACAATTCATACCCACATTCCCTGTGATCTGGATGCTCGGGGGTCTCTGCCGGGGGACGTCATTCTGGGGTTGGGAAGTGGGGAGCTGTACACCACAGGTGCGTCTGAACTTCTGGACCTCTCCTACCCAGGACACCAATATCAGGAAGGTCCCGCTTCCCCGAAACCTGAGTTTCTGGGTGCAGCCTCAACCTTTGCGTGGAGGAGTTTGTCAAATTGTAGATATTAAAAGACAAATAAAAGTCAGCGCCTTTTGCAAAAGGCCAAGGATAAAGCTTCCTTCCCGGTAGGCAGCGTGTGTATGTGTTTGGCTCTGGGGGTTTGCGGTATGCGGGAGAGAGGGTAGACACTGTTCTTTACCAATACTTTCCATGACTAGAGCCAATGAAAAAGAATGGGAGGGTGATAGGCCAAGATTACCCCCAAAGGCCCCCCCCGAAAAAACATTAGTTGTTCTGGGTGAATAGATTTAGGGTGATTTTTCTTCTACTTTTATGCATGTCCCTACTACATGTATTGCTTTTATAATGTGCATTTTTTTAAAAAATGCAGCAGTGCAAGATGACTGACCATTTGAGCCTCCTCCTTAGAGACCTCAAGTATGAAATGTTTTTCTGAAATAAATACAAACCAAGAGACTCAGGATTCCCCTCCTAAGTAGTTCAGGCACAGTCCCCGGACGGAGGCTTCCAAGAATGGTGGGGGGGGGGGGCACAGAAGGGCTGGGGGAGCCCCACAGCCACACCCAACTTCTGGAAGAGCTCTCTCGAACCTGCACCAGAGGGGAGCAAATTCTGAGCTGGTAGCAGCAAAACAGAGCGAACCTCACTGGTTTCATTCCTACAGGAGGGGCCTAAAGAAATCCATTTAGCAGGGGATGAGGCAGGCCAAGAATGGGATCTTGGCGGAGCAGAACACCGCCATGGGTTGGATTTTGGAAGTCACATCCTGACACGAGGAAAA